AAGCTGAGAGAGATCACAGGAAGATCTATTTCAAAATGTTCACTTTTTACATAGCCTCCTCCTTTCTGTGTGCTTAACATTTTTCCAGACTCCAAGAGTTCCCTGAAAGTAAGGTATTCAGACTGAAATGTTTGTTGTGGATAGGAAGCTCTGTTTATAGGGGGTAATTATTTTCTAAACAAAGTCAGTTTGTCTCCGGGGCATTAGTCACTGCCTACTATAAAGTTAGTCCAGTTAGAGTGCTATTTAGAACTTCGGGCTTCATTGATCATTATATGGAAAAGTAATGCTGATAATGTTGTTTCCCCAAGGCCACTAAATACTATCCATGTGGCTTGAAGGAGTTAATGTAATTCCCTAAGTGCCTCATTAAACCTCCATCCAGACTTCCTTCAGAGAAAATATCTTTACAAATCCGTAAACCAGATTTTGCTAAAAATCTCATAAGTGAAGCTCTCTGAAAACAAAGCTTAGGAAAAAAAAAGTTTTTTTGTAGGCTCAAAGCCAATGTTAAGAATCAAAGAAGTTGCAAATCTTCAATGGTATAAATATTTTTAAACAGTAATGACCATATATATTATGTATTTGTAATTATATCTGTTGATACCTTTAACATATTGTTCTGGAAACCTTATGAGGCAAGAGGCAGTCTATAGATGTAGACCAATATGACGAATAGGGGGAAGGAAGGGCTGAAAGAATGAAGTGCTATTTCTATACCAGGGAAGAAGAGTGGCCCTCCATGGTATATAACAATATAAAGGTAAAAACTGAAAGGATGGTGTTCATTCCAAGTTCTTTCCTCAAAGGACATCTACTCTAAACTAATGAGATGCGCGGCCAGGTCATCAGAGGCAGGAAATAGGAAGGGGTGTGGCTGACAGGCATTGGCATTGAAAGTCTACATCTGTTATTTGTGGAATCAAGGAGAGAGAGAGCTTAGAAGAAAAAACATGAAATATTTTCTTCTACCTTGTGTTTTGCTCAATGTTAAACAAGCAGTAACATTTGATGACATCATAATTTTAAAGATTTCTTTTGGCCAGAATGCTTCAGAAATTCAGTTTCTTTAACTCCTGGCCTTGCAGTTGATAAATTTTCCAAGTTTTAATAAAGCATAACTTTTTTCATTTAAAAAAGGTTGGAGGGGAAAATTATTAACAAATGAGATCAGTCTTGACAAGTAAAGAAAAAAAAAATACTTAAAATGCACTTGTTAACTACCCCGATACAGAATTGGTCCTGTACCCCCAAGTCAGTCTCTTACTAAATGTGCTGCACTTGCCAGGGGAGCACATCCTTGCAGTTAGTAATTCGTCTATTTGGAAAATCTTCACAATGATAACTTTATATTCATTTTGATGATGTGATTAATTTTAATTAATAGCCTACTTCAGATTTGTCTGAATCTGTATTTGAAATCTAACTCTCAGATAACCCCCATATCTCATTTCTATTTATCATTTCATTATAGGATTATTGGTTTATCTATTTATTCATTTGGAAGGCAGAGTTACAAACAAAAACTGAATGAAAGAAACAAAGAGAGATCTTCTTTCACTCCATAAATTTTTGCAGTGGCCAGTGCCATGCAGGTACAGCGACCCAAGATCTCACGCTCTCCACTGCTGTCCCAGGTGCATTAGCAGGGAGCAGGATCAGAAGTGGAGCAGCTGGTACTTGAATCAGGGCCAATATTGCTTGCAGGCATCCCAGGCAGTTGTTTAACTTACTGTACCACAAGAATGATCCCATCACATCTCATTTTAGTAATGGAAATTATTATGAATTAAGGTGGCTTACAAACATTCTTTTAGCACACTTAAGTAAATTTTCTTAGTCTTTGATGTTGAATCTTGGATAATAATCACTACCATTTATTGACACTACAGTGTGCCAAAGTGCTTTATGGATATTATGTCTAATCTGCATGAGGTCCCTGCAAGGCAAGCAAGTTACTCTAATCATCGTCTCTTTTTAGTGATTACAAAGCTAGCGAGTGCGTTGATTTGAGAAAACATGAATCCCCTGTACTTGGCAGAGTGACATAATTCATATCCCTCTTTCAGATTCTAGACATTCTCCCTTCCCAAATGTTTTTAGAATGACACTGGTAGAAAGAGGCCTTAAAATCTATCCTAGCATTCTAATTCTCTACAATAAGCCTGAAGATGATAATTAACCTTCTACTGAGCTGTTCCCACTGAAAAGGGCTCAAAACTTACTAGGCAGATCATTTCGTGTTAGACAAAAATCAGTCATCACAGACTTTTTATTCACACCTTGATTCTGCATTTCTGGAATGTTCCTCCAATCATTACAGAAGGTCCCACGGAAGTATTAAAATGCAGATTCTATCTCAGTCAGTTTGGGATGGAATGTAACATTGTCTGTTTCTGCAAGTTCCCAAAAGCTGCACTGGAACATGCTTTGAATAACAGACTCAAGGGCTGCATCTATCCATCCAGTTAACTGAAACAGCCATCAGACAGTCCATGCCTAATTCTCTTTTCCTCCAGATTAATCAGTCTTCAAATTTACCTGCTGCCAACATGAATTCCTCTTTCCTGCTTTTCTATTTGTGATCCCTATAAGTTCTCTTGTTTGAAAACCTCAAGGGAACCTGGTGTGATGGTTCAATGGCTAAATTCTCACCCTGCAAGCACCAGGCTCCTGCATGGATGCTGGTTCATGTCCTGGCTTCACTACTTCTCATCCAGCTTCTTACAAATGGCCTGGGAAAGCAGTGGGGGGTAATCCAAAGACATGGGACCACTAAGCCTATAACAGGTTTCAAAAGAAATTCCTGGCTCCTAGCTTCAAATTGGCTCAGCTCTGGCTGTTGTGGCCACTTGGAGAGTGAATCAGCTGATGGAACATCTTGATTTCTGTCTCTGTATGTACATTTGCCTTCCTAATAAAAATAAATAAATGTTAAAAAAGAAAACCTCAAGAATTGAAAGATTAGCTTTCTAAAAAAGAAATATTTTTAATCTAACATTACTATGAAACTGTAAAAAAATCAACTGTCTCTTCACTTAATTTATTTGAAAGGCAGTCAGCTAGAGAGCTTTTCTCATCTATTAATTCATTTCAAAAATGCTTGCAACAGCCAAGGTTTGATCAGGCTGAAGCCAGGAGGAAGAAACTCAATCCTGGGATCTCGCATGGGTGGTAGGAATCCAAATACTTGAGTCATCACCTACTGCCTCATTAGAAGCAACTGGAGTCAAGAGCTGAGCTGGAATTCTAAACCAGATACCACCACATGGGTGTGGGCAACCCAAGCTCTGTCTCAGCCACTGTGTCTAAATGCCTAAATATCGGTGTCTATCAAAAGCTTACATCTTTTAAAATATTTTTAATTTTTCTTTTTTTAAAGTTTTTAATATTCACTCAATTAATTTATGATGCAGTTCTAAAGGCTCTGGGACTTCATCTCTTCACCCAATAAATTCCCCTGTTTTATTATAATAGCATAGTCCTTCAGAAAATAGCTGTAAGCCCATTGTTTTTCTATTTAAGCGTATCCTGACATTGTAGTTATGGAGGAAGGCAGAGTCCAGTATCTGATTGTCAAGATATATTTAACAGTTGCTTTGGGAGTCCATCTTTGATGTGGAAGTAGAAATGCATACTGTATGGTATCTTCGCATCTCAATATGATAGTCTCTTTTATACAGTTCCTCTAGATGACTATATGTACATGCATATTTAGCTATGTATCTATTGATCTGATATTTTGCATGAAAGTTGCATTGTATCAGAGAGAACATAGGATATGAAAACCACATTGAGTTTCCACCTAACTCCAGTGAGATTGGCCTACATTCAAAACTCTACTAACAATACCTGCTGGCATGGGTACAGGAAGAAAGGTTCCCTGCTTCACTGTAGGTGGGAGTGTAGGAGAATACAACCACTATGGAAGTCAATATGGAGAATGCTAAGAGAACTGAAATTTGATTTGCCATAAGACAGAGCTATCCCACTTCTGGGACTATATTCAAAGGAAATGAAATCTGCATATGAGAAAGGGATTGGTAATCTAATATTTACAGCAGCACAAACTACAGTAGCAGAGACATGGAAATAACCTTAGTCCTGTCAAAAGAGGAGTGGATAAAGAAACTAAAGTGCATCTGCTCCATGGAATACTACTCAGCCATTAAAAAAAGAAGAAATTGTACCATTTGCAACCTAACTGTCCAAACTACAGCCCATTATACTCAGTGAAATAAGTCAATCCCCAAAAGACAAATATCAAAAGCTTACCTCTTAAAATAACTAGATCATGGCTGTCATCAGGGATATCTAAATTTCTTTAAATTAAAAAGTAGTTTAACTGCAACAACAATGAAGAGGACAACGGTTCCGGGAAGATGAGGATACCTTTTGCTGTGTTGGAGGCCTCAGTGAAGCATGGCTTATAATTCACAGCCTTATATACTGCTTTCACCTTAGTCTGGTTTGTTCAATATCACCCGGTAGGAAAAGTAAATACCTGACCATTTTAGAAACTAACAAATTGGAAAATGTCTGAAAGCTAGTAATTCTGTGTTTGGAAGTGCCGATTGCACTTGAGAATTGCAATCATAATCAGAGTAGCTCAGCTCATAGCCCGCAACAAGAGGTAGTTTTCTCGACAATCTGGGTCTTGCAGAGCTCGATATGCCTGGATATTATAGTCAGCCTGAGTTCTAGCTTTCCTTCATTGAACTAGGAACTAATCCAGATGATAAATAGCAATCAACCAAATAATTACTGAAACACGCTTTGCATTCTAGTGCACATATGGAAGTGATTTACAGATCATTTCTAAGCGTTTTTTGTCTAATGAAAGTAATATTATTATTATATCACTTTATGTTTCAAGTAACTAAACACATATAAACTGCAAAGGTTTATCACACAGTGAGGTTGACCTTTGCAAAACAAACAAACAAATAACAACAACAGCAAAAACCCCTCAAAGCATGCTATAAATTCTTCCATCTCACCATTTTATATTCTTTCCAGCCTCTTTGGAAATCCAGGCTTCCATCTTCACGATGTTGTATGACAGTCCAACCTCCCCCATTAAGATCCATATTGCAAAATACCTGAGAGAAAAAGTAGAAATGAAAGTGAAGGCTTTGCCCATTTCAAAGAAACATGTATCTGAGGCTTCAAAATAGGAATAGAATCATAGGCCTACAGATAAGAAGAAAAATTGTGATGATAGAAAATGATAATTGAAATCTGTTATTGATTACTTCTGTCCATGATTCACATTTGAATGTTTCTGATTAAATCCCATCAATGATACATAAGTTACTTAAAAACATTTAAATCAGTGAGTTTCAAATTAATATTTTTCATATCATATTGTAAGACATTCACAAAAATCTTTGTCCTAAAGGGAGACAATCTCATGTGCATATTTACATTTTAGGGACATTAGTTAAAATAGAAGATTCTAAATTTTGATAACTTGGATTGAAACAACAAAATTAGAAAATATTTAAGACAAATAACTTTTTTAAAAATCACATATATGTAATTATTTGATATTTTATTGCATATTTACTTCTACATCCTTACACGTGATAGTTCTTGGTTGTTCAGTGCCACATTAGAGACAAAATTTGATCCTCAGCATATGGAGAACACATTACTTGCTTGAATTCAAGTCACGAACAATAAGTAGAGAGTATGACATACTGTAATCTTTCTAACTGCGACAAGCATTTCTTTCCCTTGTGGAAAAGCTGTCCAAATCATTCAAAGACAGGCTTATTTCAATTATTCTAACTGCAATATTATTCATTTAGAAATTGACTCATTTCCCCCCAGAGTTCACCTAAGGAGAAAAACATATTTGTAATGGGATTATCTTTGGAGTGCAATCGCTATAATTGATGGAGCATGAATGTGGCAGCCTGATTATTCAAGGATTGGGCTATGGGGAATCAAACATTAAAGCATTGTGAAAGCTGGCTGAAGGTGTGGATATGATGCAACGGCAGCAGTCACAGAGCTAACCTCCAATTAGAGGGAAAGCATCAAGCATTTTCCCCAAGGCATCGTGTTTGGAGCAGAAATGGCTAAAGGGTATGAAAGCAATGGTTAGATTAGTCATTCAGAGGACAAATTGTCCATGTACTTGCTCTAAGTGAAAGGAACTAAGATATTCATGTCTATTTGTGAGCATGTAAAATTGTTCTCCTGAGGTCCCTGCTTCTAATTTGACAACAGCCACCCACCCAACACATCTTTATTATCCTTATGAACTGTCTCACCTCCAAGATTATAAATTTCTCTTCTCCTCCCTTTCCCAAGGTCCCCCTTCTGTTACTCCTTTAACCCTTCTGTTTCTTCTCTTTGTCCTCTCTTCAACACAATCTCTGTTCATCTTTCATCATTCTTAATTCTACTTTATTAATTTACTTATTTTTCACTCAACAAACTTTCTAGTTTATTCAGTGTTTCTCGGGGGAGATATGATAATTAATAAAATACCTATCTTGACATCAAATGATTCAACACTTCAGGAGTGACTGCTCCTATAGGATTAAGCAGAGACACTGAAGACCATAATTTTAAATTTCAGTTTTCTGAACTATGACAGGCAGTGATCTAAAGGAGAAATTGAAGCAAGAGCTTAAATGTGAGAGAAGAAAATGGTCATGGTTTCACCCTCCTAAAGCTTTTTGGTAGCATTCACATTCGAAATGGGGAGTTTTTCCAACAGAGTTGCTCTACTAGGTCTATATCAAGAAAAGAAAATACAGGTATAAAAGCCTTAAGCAACACAGAAAGAATGGTTGGGGTGAGCATTTGGCCTGGGAGTTCATTAAGATGCTGGTGAGGTGACCTATCTGTCGTTATCAGAGTGCTTGGCTTCCCAGCTCAGCTCTAGCTCTTTGACCCAGGCTCCTTGGTAACGGTGACCTTCAGAGGCAACAGTGGAGCCTTGAGCAGCCGAGGTCCTGCCAGCCTTGCTGAGATCTGCATGCAATTATTGGTGCCTGATTTCTCCAAGCCCCAATCAACATTTGGGATTTGAATCAGTATATGGGAATGCTTTCTCTCCCTCTTCTTCTCTCCTTCCCTCTGTCTCTCATTAAACAGGAATGTTTTCCAGAAGAAAGAATGATAATTAATGTGGTGTGCTTGTTAAATACCAGTAATTTAAACACTAACGTGCATTTTATATCTTTATCGCATAACAATCCTATGAAGAATGAAGAGTTAGTATTTCCATTCCAAAGATTAAAAATTATGAAGATTAAGATATTTCCATAGTTTACCAATGGCCACATTAAAGAACAAATGCCAAACCCAGTTTTTATTTAGATTTGAACTAGACTCAGGATTTGACTCCTGTAGCGGAATTACTGGGAAGAATCTGCTTGACAGTTGTAACCAATGACATGAAGATGGAAATACTATTAAAATAAATTTTGTTAAAAAAGTCATTAAGGAATGAAGGAAGGCAGGTTCACTAATGGGCTTTGGTGAAGAACTGAGAAGCAAAATGCAGCACTTTAGATGGGCAACTTATTTTGTTACTGTTATTGATGTTATTGCTGTCTCCAGTGCTTAGAGTAAGACTTAGCCATTAGTACTGAATAAAGATTTGTTGGTTAAGTGTAAATACAATAAAGTTAAAGTAAGAAAATTGAAATAATAGAAAGTCAGTCAAATTGGAGATGTGTAATCAATAAAACCCGGCAAACTGGAGATGTATAATGAGTTGAGGTGATCAGCCTCATGTTTCAGAAGAGAATGGTGGACAAAGATTAAGAAAAATAAACATGTACATTTGTGATAAAGGAGCCATTAATGATGATGGCCAGTGAGTTATAGGATTCCTGTGAGAATAACGCAGGTGGTAATGCTTAAGGCAGTCCTGCTGGTGGTTCAGAAGTGGGCAATGTGAAACTGTTGATGGCTAAACCAAAGCATGTCCAAGGGGAAACACTTGGGGAAAATAATGTTATCAGTTATTCAATTGTATTTTATTCTGGCCTGTTTGGTTAATTGTTTCTCCTCATTTTTTAAGCAGATTTTGTCTTCCTTGACATTGATTGCTAAAAAGTTTCCTGAATTATGCTCACCAGGTTATAACGTCTAATTATGTGTCCAGGGAAAACAGCCCTGCATTGTTAATAAGGACTACGTAAAGGGAAAAGCACGCTGCAGAGATCTTCATTCCTGTTACCTATGTTTTTATTCTCTTTTGAAATCACACCAGATTTTTAAAGAAAATTTTGTTTTAGAAAACTAAGCATTGGTACATTGGAAATGTTAAGAAATGACAAGATAGCATCTTAGGTAAAGATACAAAGGGAACCAGGGCTGTACGAGGAGACAGATGACTGTGTCGGAAGCAGAGGGCAGAGAAGTCAAGGAGCGAAGGCTGCCTGTCACAGTTCTTACACCAGCACTGTCATGTGTGATAAGGGCCCAACAGAGCTAAATGACACACGGATCCTATGCTACCATGAGTCAGTGCATATAAAGATTTTAGAGTAGAGTTTGGGCTACAACAAGAATTGGCATTACTCTTGCCCCTTGGATACAGTATTTTTATTATATATTAGATTACATTATGTAAATTAATATGTATGGCTACTGATATTACTAAGTATTATATACCTATATGAATTTCATCCAATTTATTTCCTTCATAACTCATTGTGAATAATATGGAATATACAGAGACAAAACACGCTGAGGTTCAATAACTTTTCCTTTTCTTTTTTGTTACAAACTTTAGGTCAATGACACTGGCACTACAGTTCCTTAACCATGACGTTTCCTATCACTATCAAATTTAGCAGTTTCATTCACTCTAGAACGCTCCTCCCAACCCCCTCCCCCAAACCTTGCTATTTTTCCTCAGAAGGAAAGTAAAAATCATATGCTTAACAGATGGAGAAAGTATTAAAGGACCTGATCAGTTCATTTGCCAATTCCACATGTTCTGCTACCTGGTAGTGTCCTGCCTATGGAGATGATCTTGTTACAGTTACTATTCCTATTGCACTTACTAATCATCTGACTTGGACTTAACTCTAACCGAGGAGGAAATAACTGGCTCCTGTCCCAGGCAAGGTCAGTGCTTTCAAGCTTTAAACACCTTTTAATATTATACAGAGGATTAAACCCAAGCCGGAAGGAGACATTTGATTCACATAATTTCTAGCTTTTATTCTCCATACAGATCAGAGTGATTACACTTGTGGATGTAAATTATTTTTCTATAACCTTAAAAGAAACACTGATTTCATTTGCTGTAGTCCTTTTCCATGAATGAAGAAAATTATGAGCCCCAAAGCAAATTAATATGTTACAATAAGTAAGTTAAGGCTTGATAATTGTTCTTTTTGAGGAAATTAAGCTTGTCATAGGGTTTGTGGTTTTAAAATTATGGAATAAATGGGAAAATCCTGTTTCCTACTTCTATTAACTGAAGAGAATCCAGAGAGTAAAGTAACCATGAGCCTTTAATAATATGAAAGCAAAAAGAAGATATACAAAGGACTTAATTCTCATTTTCTGTCTGCTTGAATAATTAACCCTGGAAAGCCATCTTTAGTTTTGACATAACATTGGAAAAGATATTTTCCTAGGTTTTTCAGCCATCCCTTTTGAAGCATGGAACAATGCCAGGCCAACAACTGTGTGTCTGTTAGATTTGTAATTCTCTTATTCTTCCCTAAAGATGAAAATATCTCTTATGTTCCAGATGTCTTAAAAATCCCCAGTTTTATTTTATGTGTGTAGAAAGTATTGATAAAAATGATTTGAACAGGACCTGTCAAACAAAATACTCAATTTCTGAACTAGTATATTAATCAGCTTCTAAATCACTTGGAAGTTATTTTATAGTATTGTTCTTATCAAATAAAATGCTATGTGATTACAGCAATGGATTTAAGACCAAATTTTAACCTCAAAAACGATGTATGTCAATCGAAAGTGCAGATCCACAGCAGAACAATGTGTCTACTTCTGAAATAGTCCATGGTCATGGAAGAGAAGGAAAGAACGAAAAATGAGCAGCAGCTCTAGAAGGCAGCCAGATCTTCTTTATGTTCAGGCCTCTGCCCCTTCCCAACATACTGCTAATATGTCCAGTAAACATCAAGGTAATGATGGTGTGTGATGTTTCCCTTTTTGCTGCAAAAAAAGCCATTTTGAGGTGATTTTTTCCAATGCTTAAACTGGCTTTACATATTGACATTCTTACCACTGCTAACCCACTCAGGCTGTTATTTTGTTCCTAGGTCTAAATCTTGGAAATCTTATCCAGGAGATTTTTGACATTGTGGGAATTTAGAATTTTAGATTTCAGTTATTGCAGAACAATGTTGATGTTCCATGATATGAAAAAGTTCTCCTATTGTGGGATATAATTTTAAATCATGCCCTCCTGGTTAATCAACACAGTAGCCACCCAGTACAGTGGAGAACTGTATCCATTAGACTTCGGTCGTATAGGAATGTGAGACACGAATCAACTCAAGGATCTCCAGTGAGCAAACAGCGATTATGCTGTGACACACGCCATGGTTCCACAAATTGAGTCTGTCCTAATGTTATCTCAACAGGTTTCAAACTCGAATTGTGTTGTGCTTACGTAAGAATCAAATTTCAAGAAGCAGTCACAGCTTTACTTGTGTGTGTGTCACTGGGAACCACGTGGCAGAACTGGAGGCGGAGGGAAAAAATATGTGAACGCTCTCAATCTGAAAACTTTGGCATTGATTTTATATTTGATCTTGGAGTCATAAGAAATCTAAAGGGAAGGTCACATCATATTTTTTTAAAGATCTATTTTTTATTGGAAAGTCACATTGTATTTTAATTAACTTTTTATAGTCAACTTACAATCAGTGTAACTGACAAGGACAAGTTCTTTAGGAACTTGGGTAGAGTGTAATTAAACTGAGATTGTTCGTTATTGTTAAGCTGCCACTTAGCTGGGGTGGCTTCTTATCTATTTTATATGATATGTGTGTGGTATGTGCGTGTTTGTGTTTAAGTGTGTTGAATTCAAGTTCAAGTATGATTATAGGATATGGAACAGACTCCCAAGCAGTATGTCAGTCTTGTCTCCTCACTTCCAGACTGTTCTATATTTATAGTTTTGTTTGTTTTATTTCGTTTCTTAAGTCATGGAGCACTTGATTCCATGAGATCTTGTTCAGAAGCCCAAAATGGACAAGCGAAAGCAAACTGTTCCGGTAGGTGGCCAAGGCCAGCATGTTATAGAACCTGACAGCTGCCTTCCCTCCAGCTTTGTTCACTTTGTTCCGAGTCTTCCTCTATGAGAAAAAAAAAATAATGTCTTCTTTTGAGAAGAGTATGATTCCCCAGCAAAGAAGGAAAAAAAAACAGGACAGTGAACAAACTTAAAACAGTCACTGAAAACACTAGTCCTTGGGAAACCAGGAGACAGAGGGCACTGGCTGAAGAAGAATCGGATTTGACTAAACCCTGAGTGGGATCCAGATTCCCTGTATGGCAATAAAGTGGCATCTGACAAACTGGTCTGCAAAAATCATTTCCGTTGCTCGACAAAGATTGACAATCAGGAATTAGGAAGACTAAGTAACGTGGAGTTGTGTGTCACACAAAATAGAAGTATATACATTTCTGTCATTGACAGACTATCCATTCATTCTAACACATGTTTGTTGAAGACTTACTAAGTGCTAGAAACTATCCTATGCCAAGAAAAATCAGAGTTAAAATTTCAAGGAGAAAACAGAAACCACCACCACCCCCACCCCCGCCTTCCTTGCAGTCGGACATTCTTTCATGGTCCTCTGGATGGGGCCATAGTGGAAAAGGCCAGGGAAGGCCTTCTGTCAGCATTTGCAAGGAATCCTGAGGAAATGGGAGCAGACGGGTCATTTAGGTAGGATAAAGAGAGAAAAAAGCTTTACAGGCTGTCTGCTGAGTATCTCGTGTTCTGAGTTAACACTTTTGCTTGTTAAGGAGCAATGTTATTGCTTCTAGCACATTCCTTGTGGCTGTTCTACCCATATGTACCCTGTTTCAAATGGATGTTGGCGTTGCTATGCTTTTACGTTAGTTTGAACTAACTATGAAATTGTCTCTTTACTACACTGAGAATTCATGTGTAACTGACTTGTAACAGGCACATGTATGGCACTCACTGAATTGTATTGAAAGCACAGATGGTTGACTTAATGATTAAAATAGGAAAGAAGAGTATTTAAAAGACATATGAAAGGGAAAATAGGATTTTCTTCCATCATTTTATCTTGGGACTTGCTCACCATACGTGCAAATCCAATGCGCCAACTCTAAGTATGCATGTAAAGCAAATCCTTCCAAAATTGCAAATTGCTATGGGATATTTTCTAACACCTGCACAGTGGCAGTATTTCTGCAAATAAGAATTGGTTCCCTACTCCCTGTCCCCAGGTTCTTAGGTGGTAAATGATATGCACTCCCTGAGTTGTTTGGAATTCAGAGGATTTCTGCCACAGACCATCCAGGTGGATGTGGCCCTAATGTAATTAGTAAAATCATATAATCAGTAAATCGCAAAAACCTAAGAGTAATGAGATATCCCAGGAATGACAGAGAATAGAAAACCTTGTTTGAAAAAAGGAGGGGGTGGTTAGGGGTTGGGAAATGTCAGTAAATACGGATTTACTGGAAATACAGTGTTTGTGGGATAAAAGACCTCAGGTACATATATATCTCCAGTTTAACAAGCCCACAAATCAATCGGATTCTCCAGCAATCCAACGAGGATCTGTTTCACATCTTGTAAACAAACACTTGTACTTTTACCTTTTTGGGTTCTGGCATATTATTAATATAAATAGTGTAGATTCCACTTTTATTAAAACCAGCTTGGTACACATCTGCACAGTCTCTAAATGGTTTCTCTTCCTCTTTTTTTCCTCCCTTTAGTAAAACTGCAAAAGAAAAAAGGGAAAGCATTGTAGTTTGTGAATAAGAACATCAGTACAATTAGTACCCAAATGAACTCCAAGCATATCTAAAGATTTCTTCATTTTCCCCATATGAAAGTCACTATTGCAATACATGCAAAAATCAGTTACAATGACCATTACAAAAGTACAATTACAAAATGAATTATAATTACAATTAGATTTTTAGATGATTTAGAAGATTTAAAAACTAAGGCACAGTTGCCAAGCAATTTCTAACTGAAAGCTTCTATTTTATGTCTTGCTGATTCTTTTTCCAGATATATGTTTTCCAACATGCCAAGCCAAAAGACAAATGATCTGGCTTGCAGTAGCTCCGATTGGTAGCAATTATAACACTGTTTGCCATAAGATTTGTAAGACATGCTTAACTACATTTCATAGGAACGTTTAGAACAGGACATGTATTTTAAAGAAGAAAAAAATTAAGATAAATTCAAACAGAAAAATAGATAATATATTTGCATATATATTATGTAAATATCATAACTAGTGTACAAGATCAAAAATAAATAGCATTGTTTTCCTGTGAGTTTAGATTGAACAGCTACCTTTTTCATGAAATAATAAAAATAAATAAAGAAATTAATTAATTAATTAATAAAAATCCAAATCGGTAACTCTCATAATAATTAGACTTGAAAAGCAAAAAGTATTTGTAACCCAACTAACTACCAAGAAAGGAAGCGTTAGTGAACTTTTGTGTTAATTTAGTGCTCTTAAACTAAATTACCAGGCAGATGATACATGAAAAAAAAAAAACAAAAAAATGAATAAAACTTTGAAATTAAAATTAGTTAAGTGGAAGCATCATTTTAGTTCTGGGAATACAATGAAGACTGAAACTTCATTATGTCTGATCACCACTTAGCCATTGAGCTCTTAATAATTAAATAAAAACAAATTGACTTACATCTAATACTTTCAAATTAAAGATATATGCAGACACTTATTAAAACCTTTAAGACATTTTTTGATTAATAGATAGTATCTTGGTAAGTGATTTTATTTATCCCTTTTTGCAATCTTACTCTAAAAACTTCCTATTATTTAATGCATATCTGGCGTCGATTACTTTGAGCCGCACCAATCTTTCATAAGAAGATCTAAGGTAAAGTACTGATCAATGCTTTCAACTCATGTTAGGTTTTCCACACTGCAAACGGCTGGCTTTCCTTAAACTTCAGTTGCATAATATTCCCTAATCCATGTGCAATACATTTCTGTCTCAATCTAAATGTTTCAAATTTTCAAACATATTGAACTATATTTCAAGAAAGTGAAATATCCGTGCCTGTTATGTAGACACAATGGAAAAGCAGGAAAACATTTAATAACGTGACGGTTCTACATACAGTTGAGATATAAACTCATGGTTTTACCTAGGATATTAATAATTACATCTAAACAGCACACACACAAAGATGCAAAAAAAACCCCAAAGAAAAATGATGATTCCCTTTAAAGGATGAAAAACAGGAAAATGTGGTCAATGGGAACCCATTGGTGAGTCCGTTTTACTTTTTTTGGGTGTGATAAATGGAGAAACTCATTTATCTAAGGAGAAAATGCTTCTGTTATGAAATACACCACCTCCTGCCCTCCATGACTCAGCTATGTGAGCAGGGTGGGGTTCCCCCTGGTCTTTCTGCTCTGGCCCTCTCCTCCTTGCAGGAAAATGCAGTGTTGAATGGGCTACTGAGCAGGAAGAAGGTAACTGCTTACACACAATTTCAGTAACAGAAGAAGGAATAATTTGAATTGTATTATATGGAAAAAAAACTACAAATGCTTTGTATAAACCACGAATGTAAATTCTACCCCTGAGAAAAGTGGTTTGAGGGAACTACAATAAAAGCTCCAATGAGTAATATGATTACTTTATGTGTTGCAACAGCATATATGATATACATTATCATATTTAATTGGATGTTTTTGAAAAACTGAGAAGTAGACACAGATTAGCAGAAGAAGCAGTCATCTTTTCATGAACACGCACACAAAGATTAGATTGCTTGGTTTTAATCACTTAGGGTTAGCAAATATTAGACTTGAAAGTTTTATTGAGGCTGCATTTTATAGTGTTATGCGTCTTCAAGTCAGTTTGAAAGCTTACACCACAGCCGACCTTTGATATTTTCATTACATACAACTAAGCCTCAAGAAGGTGAGCTACAGAATCTGAAATTTCTGCAAGGCCTGTATAAATGGCACCCCTTCCCTTTTTTCTTCTCAGACATGATCTCACAGTAAGGTATGAAGGAATGGAATTTGCAGTGGTGTTTCCGATCACTGTCCTTGGACAGACAAATCCTCACCCCTGGACTGTCATTCAATCAGTTACTCATGCAAACATCAAATAATTTATAAAAGGCTTTCCATCACATTTGCTGCAAAGTTCAATTAAATCTTTTCATTATTCACCTGTCACTTTTCACAAGACTAACCCCTCTTGAATTTTCTCTCACTCTTCCTATGTGATCTTTAGGGTTTATTCTAGAGTGATTTAATATGCTTTCTCCACTTCCTTCCTCTATGTTACAGGAGGTATCTCTGCTTATCCTCACACTGACTTGCTTTGGTTTGCCTTTCCTAGTTCATACTTAGTATCATATTTTTTGGTTTCTCTTCCTCCCCTCGCTTCCCATGGGGGTATCCACCAAGATTCCATTCTCATTTCACTCCTGTGTCTCTATTCTTTATAACTCAGGTGATTTTTCTTGTTTTTGTTTTTAGCAAACTACTTATCATGGTTTCACACTTCTGTTTAGAGGATTTCTAAGAAAAATATGCATTCCATCACTACATGTCAATTCAACAAACGTTTATTTAATAGTCTCTATAAAAAATCTGATAGACAATGGAGTTATAGATGTTAATAAAACCCAAACTCACTCCTAATGTCATGAATCATAATTGGAAAGGCTAATGATTATCTTATGATAGCAGCGTTCATGAAAGAGTCTAAGTAAATTCAAACTTGCCAAAAGAAAAAGATAATTTTTGAAACTTGTAATTGGATAACGCATATTAGAACTTTAGGTACTGTATGATCAGGTTTCAAACAATGTGACAAGGAATTGATTTCTTTTTCTTGACTCTCTTGTTCTTGGTCTACTACCTGGTCACAGGATGCTTGGCAACAGCTTCTATAGCTATAATGTTACCAGTATAAATATAGCACTAAAAGGAGACAATTGTTATCAAAGTTCATGCAAGGAGAATATTTCTCATCTGCCAGGCAAGAAAGACTCCCTGGAAGAGATAACACTAAAAAAAAAAACCACAAAAAACAAACAAAAAACAAAAAAAAAGCATGTAGAAAGCTCCATCTGAGCTAAATTTTCAAAGCCTGGTATGTCAGTTCAAAGAATTCACTCACAGCAGTATCAGCAAATAAATCTAGAAAGTCTTCGGAAGAAAACATTATTCATTCTTTTCATTTAGCCTTATCTGTACAACCCTATCTTTGTCATTTAAGGGGAAAGAATAGAGGCACAAGCAGGTGCATGTCTGTCTATCACCAGGCAATATTCAGTTAATAAGCAACCTGAGACCACAGTGCCAGCAGCTGTTGATCGTATCCTTCTCTTTCCTTCATTTAACCAACCAACTGCACTCCAGATTGTGTATCGGGCCACCAAACTGGCTGCAGGGAAGTGACTTGAAGCTGAGGTACAGGGTCACTTCAATTCATATGAACCCTCAAGAGAAAACTTCCTGGAATGTGGAATTGGTAATTCAGAGTTTCAGCAATCCCAGCAGAGAACACAGATGGCAATTAGCCTTGCTACCAGAGACACTGTGAATAGCTTAAACCCTTGCTCCTATCCATTCCTCGATCAGTAGCTGGAAGGGATCTATCATTCAAGCATTCTTTGTTAAACTTTACAAGTGGCTAAGGTTCACAGTTTTCCAGTATTTGACAAACATTAGAATACATGTGGATCATGTTATTTTATTCAAGGCTAACCCATGCAGGAATTTTTTTTGCAGTGAGGGGAGCACCATCATTAGAGAAAACACAGCTTTAGTTACCATCCCTAAATCTGATTTCAATTCAACAGGTGACTGAATATGATGTGAATATAATGCAGCACGCAAAGAGACAAAATTGCACATCTGACAAGCTGGAAGCAAACAGCTCATTCGATTTTGCACTCTTCAGTCAGGCAGATGTGTATTTCAAAGAAGGCAATTCTGAAGATGCTCTCTAGAATCCTGATTTATTCCCAGGGTCGTTTATAGGCCCCAGGTTCTGGGAATATTTCGATGATACAGCGCTACATTTTTCTTTTCTCTAGTTCCATTTCAAATAAAATTACCTAAAATTTTAAAATTTTAATGCAGAAAGTTAAAATTCATGCATATGAATCTTCAAAATATTCATAGAAAATTCATGTTACAAAAATCCATGTTTCAACTTTTTACATATCTATATGTACATATATTATGATATGTAAACATATATATTTCCTTTTGAAGTACTCAATGTGAAGCCCTCAGTTAAGCAGTTAAAAGCTTCCTTGTTTGAAAAATGATCATTTCTTTTCCCACAGTGCCCTTAACCCAGGTATAACAGAATACTTGGGCATCATTTATTTTGTTTACTATGATTATAACTAATTTTATTTTGGAAAAAACCTTTGTGTGTATATTTTGTACTTAGTTTGAAAATTCTTAGATGTCCATCAGGCTTTGGGTGCAGTTATAAGAATTATGATCACAAAATCAGCTAATATTAAATGAACACTTAGAGTATGCTAAACTCTGAATTTTGTGTGCCAGAAATGTTTTACATACTTTGCTTCATTTAATTGCCATAAATATCTTATGGGTTTACTAGCATTTTTCATATGAGGCAACAGAGGCTCAGTGAAGCTTTGTAACTTCACCAGAGTTGATAACTAGAATTCTCTGGCAATCAAATTAAAGATCTTAAAACTCATGAGGCGCTTCAGTGA